ATGTATGGGAGTGGGAGTTAAATTAAGTTAGAGCCTTATTATAATGTTTTTATTTGAGATACAGAAATCCGAAACCATCTTCCTCTATAACTTCAGTAGGAATTGTTTAACTCTCGTTCTCTATTAAACTCAAGTTATGGGTTTATTTGTTTGTTTCTTTTTGTTAAAACATGTTTCCATATCTTTTCTGTATTAACATCAAACTTGGAGAGATAAGATTAGGTTAAACTTGCGTCATCTTCAATCGACTTGATTTTTCCAAGTTATCTGCTTCTTTGTCTCATTTGTGAGACGACAGGCGAACAATAATATTAAAAGAAAATTCTGAGAAGGGAACAAAATCATCTAAATGGAAGAAAATATTAGACTTACCGGATAAATCGACGTGGACAAGTCACCTATCCTTGCTTCCCTTTTACTTTCATCTTCACCTGACCAAACTTTGAATTTTAATACCAGGTTACATAACTTCTATAAATCAAGGGCCCCACTTTATCAACGAAGAGCGTTATTAAATTGGTTTTATGATCTTTATATGTTGGGAGCACTTGTTGTATTGATCAGTTACACTAGCTGAAGTAGATCCTTTAGTATAGTAAAAATAATACTATTAAAAGTATTGATGTTATCTTTTTATGTAGAAATTAGTTCCTAACATTTTTTTCGTTTACTTGGTGTGTAGTAAAAATAAAACTATAATTGGGAACTTGAAACACAATATTGATGAATTTAAGTAAGAAGTCAGCGCCGCATGGATAGGTAGAAAATTCTTTACCCAAGACTTACTGAACTAGTTGGAGATTCCAGTTGATTAACTTGATTTCATGTAAGACTTTCTTATAAAGTTAATGTGGATCCTACGTTAACTCAAATCTTGATATCTGATATTAACATTAATGATATAACAGTTGTTTACACTTTGTCTTTTCAGTTTCAGCTTTTATCATGTGGGGTTGGAAAATCATACTCAAATGTCCTAAGAAAGGGAAAAAAAGAATTATTAACAGCAGAGTAAGTACTCAAAACAATTAAAAGTAAAACTCAAAAGAGGTTAGAGAGAAGGAAAGGTAATGACGACTTATGCCAATATAACTTTTCTATAAAGAGAGAGAAAGAAATAACAATAATTAACAAACAATGAAAAAGAAAGGTGAACAAGACGCACTAAGTCTATAAGCTGCTTGAGCACAAAGAGAGAGGAAGGAAGAACCAACAAGAGAAAGAAAAAAAAGGGGAAAAATGCAGAGATTAGCTCCATTGATGGAAGAACCGATGGATCAAGAAGAACAAGAACAAGAAAGAGGAGGAAGATCAACGAGATCAAAATCATGGAAGAAATGGATAAAGACACAACTGCAGCTTATGGTCATTCACAAAAAACCAGATGCAAAGGTTCTTCTCAGTGTTCTTGGATGCCCTCTCTTCCCTGTCCCTCCTCTCTCAAAAATCTCTCTGCAGCAGGTAACTATTATACATACTGTACATACATAGAAAACTATTTCAACTACCTCAAGAGGATATTTTGGTGGGTAACATTAAATAAGATTAATTTATGATGCTTTTGTATATATTTTCTTATGCACCTGAAATATTTTTTGTATTTAATTAGATAGACATGCTTTTAATCTGGTGAGAACTAATAACTTGACAAGTTTGCATCCATTACTTGAGACAGTTACACCTTTTAATGGGTTTTGGTATATTTCTCAGTTGAACTAGTGATATGTTTTTCTCCTTTTTCGGCTTTTTAAATGCGGTATATGCAAAACTTTATATTTAAAAAGAAATTTATTGGTATTTGTAATAATTCAGACTTCGCATATTTTTTTCGCTTTCCATATTCGACATAAGATAATAAATAATAATACAATATAATATTGTTTGGTTAAATTTAGTTTTTAAGTTTATATAATTCCTGTGGTTAATTTTTTCATAAGTTTTTTTTTTCTTTTCGTAGTTCTCTTTAGTTAGTAGATTACCAAGAATGTATATATTTCTTAAGTGTAAAAATTTTCTTAAGTGGATTCCTGTTAAAAGCGCGTCTCTAGGCCTCTACTGTTTATTCTAAAGATTTTTCGTGACACACATGTGTGAGATTTGATAAAATCTGCGGAGAATAAGGTCACAGGTCAGTGTCACATACCAAGAATAAGAATTAGTCAATGACTCCATCACGAGATCCATACATAATTATAGGAGACACAATTATTCCATTACAATAAACTTATGGTTTCAGATCTGAATTATATAATTTATTATTATTTTGTATTCAGTAAAATACTAAAATTACATGTTTTGTACTAGAAAGAGAAAAAGAAAACAATATAAAAATAAAATTAAAATGATTTGATATTCAAACTTCTGAGACCCAAATTAGATTTGAGAGTACATATCATAGTTTTAACTGTTTATGATTCAAACGACTACTTTTTTAGAAAAATATATACACTTTTGGTCGTTCACTAGATTACAATATGATCTCATATTTATAGAGAAAACAAGAAGCTCAGATTGGTGTTAATATATGCATGAAAATCATACTAATCCATATAGCTATAATTATGATCATTGTAGGTTTCATCGTCAGCACAATACATAATACAACATTTCGCCGCAGCAACGGGATGCAAGAAACTTGAAAGAGGAATTAAAAACACTTTCGTAACTGGAAAAATTACAATGAGTATGGTGAATGACCTTAGTGGCTCAGCCACAGTTAATGCTTCGCATGTGTCGCATAAGGGATGCTTCGTCATGTGGCAAATGCTACCAGAAAAGTGGCTTATCGAGCTGGTCGGTGGCGGTCATAAGATTTCAGCTGGAAGTGACGGAGAAATTGCTTGGCGCTATACACCCTGGCTCGGTGATCACGCTGCTAAAGGCGCTATACGGCCTTTGCGACGTACTCTACAAGTAAGTATACATTTTCATTACTTTTTATTTTCATCAATATTTAATTTATACAGCAAAAGAAATTTGTATACTCATTAGAGTAAAGTATTAAACATCTGAAGAGTTAAGTTATATAAATGTGAACATATCAGAATAAGCTTGTTAGTTTTTCGATTAGTTAGGATCTAACTAGAGATTATGCAATTAATCTTCACATATATAGTTAATACAAACATTTTTCAAGATTTGAAGTATAGCATATACATCTAGTAAAAGCTGAAAAAAACATAATTATATATTGTTTTGATTTGCTTTAGGCAAAAAAGAAGAAGAGTGTGTTGGATCCGACATTCTACTTTGGGAGATGCTTTTCTTAGCTTTCTGTTGAGATGTATCTTTTTCCCTTAATCACGTGCACCTAATTGCCTTTATCATGCGCTTAAAAAATGGAGTAAAAGGTCGGAACTTGTAAGAGAGATTCAAAGTTGATATAGTTAATCCAAACTTTATATAATTATTAGATTTTAGGGACAAAACATTATGTCTTAGTGGTCCCCTTTTTATGGTACACACATCACTGTTAGCAATAATACATTGGCATCATAATCAAAAACTAAACCTCTCTCTAATGGTTTTAAGTAATAATATTGACACTAAAAGTAAAGAGGTTTATGTTTGCTCTTATTCATGTGTATTGTCCTCTATTTTGTAGTTTTCTGTTTTGTTGTTTGGTTGTGGTCCAGTTCGTTCTGTAAGGACAAGATCAATATAAATCCGGTTTGAAAGAAATAATCAAACTAATATAAATATTTTCCACAAAGAAATATATAACTTATATTATGTGGATTATTATGAATAATACTTGAATTTCTATTAACTGAGTTTATGTATCTGGAATACACAATCAGGGGTTGGATCCTCTAACAATATCATCCGTATTTTCATCCGCACAACTTGTTGGAGAGAAAGAAATTAATGGAAAGGATTGCTTCGTTCTCAAGTTATCAACGGACCAAACTGATTTAACACGACGCAGCGACTCCACGGCTGAGATGATCAAACATGTTGCCTTCGGTTACTTCAGCCAGAAAAGCGGCCTTCTACTTTGCCTTGAAGACTCTTCCTTAACTAGGTACATTACACCACAACAATTTGATTCTTTATATACTTACTCCTTTAGGCTTCATGCAAACTACTATATGACTAGTATTGGTTAAATAAACAAGATTTTGTTTTGTTGTGTAGGATTCAGACACCGGGAAGTCTTCCTACATACTGGGAGACCTCAATGTCGTCATGGATGGAGGATTACCGAGCAATCGAAGGTAGTGAAGTGGTGATAGCACACTCAGGTAGAACGGATGTGTTAATATCAAGATTTGGAGAGAATCTCAAAGGAGGAATCTCTGTGACTCGCATGGAAGAGAGATGGACCATAGATGATGTTGCATTTGACGTGCCTGGCCTATCCATCGATTGTTTTATCCCTCCTAAGGAGATGAAGATGGATTTTCACCACCAACACGGCCAAAACACGTTTCCAGAGTTATTAGATGAGCGGCAAAAATTGTAATATCAAAAACATCACAAGAATTTAATATAGAAAAATTGTATAAGAGTGATTTTAAAATCAAAACGCTTATGGTCATAACGTTTATGGTCAGGTGCTTTATCTTATTTCAAAGGTGACTAACTGAGGATGATAAATAATACTAATAGACCTTTGTAAACTTGGGATACAAAAAGACTAAGTATCGTGAAAAAATCTCTAAACTCATGTCATTCTATTAAAGACTGTTCATATCAAACGTTACATTCATAAAAAAAAAAAAAACAGAGTTTTCTCATATTATGCATGTGTTAGAACATGAATCCAAATTGCTATAGATGCATACAATTTGATAAATTGGAATATATATATATATATATAAGTTCTACGCCGCCTTTTATGGATTACAAGACTTTGAAAAGATATATCTTTTCTTTTTGTAATGTGAATATAGTTCCACCACCGTATGATCTTTCTCATATTCCAAACATCAAAATCAAAAATCTTAGCAATCCAAGGGGCTAAAAGACCAAACACAACTCCAAGATCCTTGCTTGGCCTATCTGGTGAACTTCTTCTGGAATTGCGTGAGGACGGGGTATATATTCTCAAAGGCTTTATAGGTCTCTTCTCTCTTCTTGGCTCCAGTGATAACAATCTTCCCAGACACAAAGATTAGCATCACAACCTTTGCTCCTTTCGTCTCTTTGTTCGCTCTGATCCTATAAATGAGTCCTGGAAATATCTCTGGCTCGTAACATGCGAAAGCGTGGTGATAGCAGGCAAGACCTTCAAGCCTTATAGGAAACTTCACATCACAAGAAGCTACAATGTTCTGAATCTTGAAGTCTTTGAACTTTGCTTGGAATCCAAGTTTCTGAATTATCCGAGCGTACTTCCGAGCAGCCAGCTTGGAGGAGTCTTCGGTCTTGGCTCCAGTACAGACCATTCTTCCCGAGGCGAAGATCAAAGCCGTGGTCTTTGGTTCCCTTATCCGCATGATCACAGCGGCAAAACGTTTAGGGTTGTATTCAGCGTTCCGTGCTTGCAAAGCTATTAATTTTAGGTCAAGCTTGCAGTCCAAGTTAACTGTAGAGACGATGTTTTGAAGAGTGGGAACGATCCCTGAAGGATGATTGATAAGGTCCACTGGTTCACTACTCCCTTCCGAATCTTGATCACTCATTCTCTACGATCGTATTCAATTATTAGGTTCCGACACGAAATCTAGGGTTTCGTAGGCCAAAGAAACCGAAAGATTAGAAAAATCTGAGAACGGGAAAGCTTGGTGCTTACACAAGGAGATTGGTTTCGTTCTTTCGCTTCTCTCAGAGAGTTTTTTTATCTGTACAGAGGCCACCGACTCGAGTTTTGTATATATAGGAGCTTGAGCTACCCCTGACCGTCTTCGTAATACCGGGGGTGTTTCAGGGAAATCAAGAGTTTTTCCTTTTTATAAACTGATTTTCCTTTTTTAATAAATAATACAATATTGAACATATATTCCAAATTCATTAAGCAACTACTTTTTTTATTCCAACGAAAAATTAATGTACATGACTTTATTTTACCGATTCGCTAGTATGCAACTGATGTACGGAGAAACCTATCGAAATTTAGCCACATTAAATTGGATGTTTCACGATATCTTTTTCAAATTTCGAGTGAGTTCGAGAATGGGAGTATTAAGGTGGATGTGCTACGGAGTTGTAGACTTATAAGTTATAACGGTGCAGGAGACTTTTAGTTTGCTTTTTGAGAAGAAAAATAATATGTAGAGGTGGCGGGAGTTGTAGACGTGTAACGGTGGTGGAGATTTGTATTTGATCTTAGGAAAATACATAGATCTATAGATATATGGTAGTATGATGGAGAACTGTAGATGTATGACAGTGGTGGATACTTGTAATCAGTATTAAGAAAAGATGAATAGTATGGTGAATGTGGCTGGAAACAATATAATAAGAATGTGGTGAAGACTTGTAATCGATTTTAAAAGAAAGAAAGTAGTATAATAAAAATGTCAGAGCATTGTACATATTTGTTTTGGATGTGGCGTGTACTTAGCGTCTTGCAATATATATTGTGGTGAAGGAAATGATGATGTTAAGTAGTATGTGAAATACTTTTTGGGTGGACGGTGTTGATTTGTTTTTATGAATCATAGAATTATATTGTGGTGTTGAAGGGGATAAGAGTAAGTAATTGTAGTTGTGATGACACTAATTACAATTACATAAATCATGCAATGCCCTAACCCCATCATTCTTGAGGATCTCATCAAAGCCATATTTTTTCTTTCTAGTCATTCTCTTGGTTTGTGATATTAATCAATAAGAAATCCATTTATGATTTATATCTTTGTTTTTTTGTGTAATCTTTTATATTATTTTCTCGCTTGGGTTCATGTGTCACTTTCAAATACATTAAGAAAACATGTTAAGTTGTTTGTTTTAAGATACTAATTTGTGAGAAGTTTGAATTTTAGATTTCTCTTGCATCTTCCAATATGCTTAATATGATTTTTCTTATCTTGTTTGATATTGGACATAACTTATGAAATCAAACAAGAAGCCATTGATGATTTTTAGCAACAAATAAGATACTTATCATTTCATCAATCTATTGAATGAAAGCAAAATTTATCTCAACATCACCAATGTTAATATTATCATAAACAATAGTACATTTTATAAAATATTTTGTCAACTATATGTGATGTCTAGCTGTATTCAATGTATTGGTCGATTGATTTTCATCAGCATTCCATGCTATTTTTGTGCAGTTTGGTACATCCAATACATTCTTGTATAGAAGACATTGGTTCTTGTACTTACCACCCGATTATTCTTGGAAATCCATCAACTCATCCAACCCTGCCAAATGAACTTTATCATTATCAAACAAGTGTTTAGGAACTTTGTTAATGAAGTTTTGGTAAGAGAGATAATTTTCCATTGATAGTTTAGCTTGAGGTGGGCTGTATTTAATGTATTGGTCGATTGATTTTCATCAATATTCCATGCTATTTTGTGCAGTTTGGTACATCTAATACATTCTTGTATAAAAGACATTGGAAGAGTGTTCTCTCACACATTCATTAACTGAGTATCCTGTGAAAACTGATGTAAGTGTCTATTTTCATCATTTTTGTTATCGTTTAATAAAAAATGTTTTTTACAATATTTATATTATCATAAACGATCATACAGTTTATAAGATTTTTTGAATGATATAAAACATCAATTATAATTATAAGAGTGAGTGGTCTGGAAGAATAAAATTGATATTTATAAAATATTTTGTCTATTATATGCGATGACTAGTTGTATTCAATGGATCAATCAATTGATTTCACTTCATCAGCATTCTATACAATTTTTGTGCAGTTTCTTATAACCAATATGATCTTCTATATGAATTGTACACTAGGTTGTATCTATATGTTGTCATAGAAGCACCTAATTTAATAAACACGTCCACACAATATTATATGTTTGTGATTAGTGTTATCACGGTTTTGACAAATAGGTCATGGTGTTGACAGACATGGTACTTATTTTTTGTGGAGTTCCAAGATTGTAATGGAGATGTCAACAATGGTAATTGTGAGTACGTCTGTATTGCGTGGTATCCGAATATGATTATTGAGTACATTCAATTAAAAGTATGTTTTATTATTATTATATACATATATTTAGCAATGGCAATGAATAAGATATTTATTTGAGTTTTACAGCTCTAGAGATCTTTCCACTCAAAGGTCAAACTGAAAATTGCATCTTATCCACTTTGGTTGAACAGTAATGTTAACTCGGTGTGAAAATATCAAAACTTGTTGTTTTGGAACTTATTTTGGTACTGTTAACTCAAATTGAAATTGTCAAACACTTTTCTCTAAGTTGGTTGTTATGGTACTGTTAAATCTATTAAGGGATCATTTGTCATGTGGCAAATGCTAACGGAAAAATTGCTTACCGAGCTTGTTGGTGGTGGTCATAAGATTTCAGCTGGAAGTGAAAGAGAAATTGTTTGGCGCTATACACCCTGGCTCGGTGATCACGCTGCTAAAGGAGTTATACGGCATTTGCGACATACCCTACAAGTATGTATATATTTTAGCTACTTTTTACTTTCATCAATATTTAATATATCAAGAAAAATGGGAAAATTCATGTACTCATATATTTTGAGAAATTAGAGAAAAATATTAAACATCTGAAGAGTTAACTTTATATTAATTTGAACATGTCAGAATAAGCTTGTTAGTTTTTTTAATTAATTAGGATCTAACTAGAGATTATGCAATTAATCATCATATAGTTAATATACAAGCATTTTCCAAGATTTAAGTATAGCAAATACATCTAGTGAAGCTGAAAAAAAAACATAATTATATTGTTTTGATTTACTTTAGGCAAAAAAAGAAGAAGAAGAAGAATGAGTTGGATCCGACATTCTACTTTGGAGATGCTTTTCTTAGCTTTCTGTTGAGATGTATCTTTTTGCCTTAATCACGTGCAACTAATTGACTTTATCATGCGCTTATAAAATGGAACTAGGTAGTTTGCCCGCACTTGCGGGCTTAATAATTTTACTAATATCTATAAATAAATATATAATCAATTTATATAAATTATAATAAATTATTGTTCATAAACTCAAAATATTTAATTAAAACCTAAACATATTCTTTCTATATATAAAATTTTTCATCATCATATAAATAATTTTCATTACACAACTTATATTTGAAAATACTCATAAACTTAAAATATTTAGTAATAAATTAATATCATTTTTAGACATAACAAAAAAAATGTATAAAAAATTATCTTTAATAATGTTTTGGATAACAAAATATAAATTATCTATACACAAATTCTTTACGAATTGATTTTTCATAATTAACTATATATTAACAAATAGAATTATTTTTCAACATTAGTAAAGACTTTATAACACAATATAAAAAAGTTTGATAAGGATAATTATCAAATTCATGACATCCATTTTTTAATTTAGAATTAATTATATATTAATGAATATAATTATTTTTCAAGGTTGATAAAGACTTTATCACATAATAATAAAAAATTTAAAATAAGGATAATTATCAAATAAATAAAATGCGTTTTTAATTTATAATTAATTATATACCAACCAATATAATTATTTTTTAAGGTTAATATAGACTTTATAACCCAATATAAAAGAGTTTCAGATAAAGATAAATCTAAAATCATTGAAATTCGTTTTTCTTATTTTTGATTTTTTTAAAATAAATTTACTATATTAATTCTTCTCAGTTATCTAAGATAATAACATACTAATCTAATTTTATTTTTTAAATTTTGTTTTTAATTATAAAATTATTTATATATAAAAAATTCATTAAGGGTAAAATAGATATTAACCGCTCCAACTTTTAGCGTGAGAGCTCCGTTGCGAAAAATCACTTCGCAAAAAAGTTTGATAAGGATAATTATCAAATTCATGACATTCATTTTTAATTTAGAATTAATTATATATTAATGAATATAATTATTTTTCAAGGTTGATAAAGATTTTATCACATAATATAAAAAATTTAAAATAAGGATAATTATCAAATAAATAAAATTCTTTTTTAATTTATAATTAATTATATACCAACCAATATAATTATTTTTCAAGGTTAATATAGACTTTATAACCCAATATAAAAGAGTTTTAGATAAAGATAAATCTAAAATCATTGAAATTCGTTTTTCTTATTTTTGATTTTTAAAAAATAAATTTATTATATTAATTATTCTCAGTTATCTAAGATAATAACATACTAATCTAATTTTATTTTTTAAATTTCGTTTTTAATTATAAAATTAGTTATATATAAAAAATTCATTAAGGGTAAAATAGATATTAACCGCTCCAACTTTTAACGTGAGAGCTCCGTTGCGAAAAATCGCTTCGCAAATAATAGTATAGATTAATGGTCGGAATTGTAAGAGAGATTCAAAGTTGATATAGTTAGTCCAAACTTTATATAACTATTAGATTAGATTTTTGGGACAAAACATTATGTATTACTGGTCTTTTTTATAGCAGATACATCACTATTAGCAATAATGCATTGCATCATAATCAAAAACTAACCTCTCTATGGGTTTAAATAATAATATTGACACTAAAAATAAAGAGGGTTTATTTTTTGTATTTTTTTGGAACTTATAAAGAGGGTTTATGTTTGCTCTTATTCATGTGTATTGTCCTCTATTTTTTTTTTAGTTTTCTGGTTTGTTGTTTGGTTGTGGTCCAGTTCGGTCTGTAAGGACAAGATCAATATAAATCCTGTTCGAAAGAAATAATCAAACTAACATAAATTCTTTCCACTAAGAATATATAACTTGTATTATGTGGATTGTTATGTATAATACTTGAATTTCTTTTATGTGGATTATCATATTTTCATCCGCACATTTTGTTGGAGAGAAAGAAACCAATGGAAAGGATTGCTTCGTTCTCAATTTATCAAACATGTCGCCTTCAGTTACTTCAGCCAGAAAAGCGGCCTTCTTCTTTGCCTTTGATATAGAGAGTTGTATAAGGGTGATTTTAAAATTAAATCAAAAAATGGTCAGGTGGCTCTCTGTCCGCTGACTATCTTAACATACTACAACCAGCTGATTTATCTTCTGAGGTGATTTCAGAATATGAGTTATTGAGCATGAAATATAACACACAAATAATATATTTTTCAAACTTGGGATTCAGAAGACCATATTGTGTAAAATATCTAAGCTCTTGTTATTCTATTAAGAATGTTCATATCAAACGTTACATACTTCAGAAATCAGAGGTTTCTCATATTATGCGTGTGTTAGAACACGAATCCACATTGCTACCGATGCATACAATTGAGCAACTTGTTTATTACATGATTTATCTGTATATATGGATTACAAGACTTTGAAGGATAATATAAATATACTTCCACCATATGAACTTTGCTTGAAATCCAAGTTTCTGAATGATCCGAGCGTACTTCCTAGCAGCCAGCTTGGAGGAGTCTTCGGTCTTGGCTCCAGTACACACCATTCTTCCCGAGGCGAAGATCAACGCTGTGGTCTTTGGTTCCCTTATCCTCATGATCACAGCAGCAAAACGTTTAGGGTTATATTCAGCGTTCCGTGCTTACAAAGCTATCGCTTTTAGGTGAAGCTTGCAGTCCAATTTAAGTGTAGAAACGATGTTTTGAAGAGTGGGAACGATCCCTGACGGATGATTGATAAGGTCCACTTGTTCAGTACTCCCTTCAAACTCTTGATCACTCATTCTCCACGATCAAATTCAAAATTCAATGTCTTGGTTTCTACACGAAGTATAGGGTTTCGTAGAAACTGAAAAGATTAGAAACGTTCAATAGTATTACAAATATGCCTCAGACCTTGAGATTATCCAGGTGTGTCTTTTTCTCAGCTATTGTTGATCTTGGTTTCCTTCCAGCTTCATGGTAATGGTTCACATGCTGCGTAGGAGGGAACAGTGCATGAAAGGAGAGTCACGACTGAAAAATCTTCTGTTCCCATATAGATTTGAGGATTCAAAGTCATGGTTTCCTTGACCTATACTCTGAATCTGGATTCCATTTCTAGTTAAAGATTATATGATTTTTGGTGTTCATTTACTATCCGACGTTGATAGGCTGAGGTAGAAAATTGTATTAACAAGTAACAAGAAAACTAGATAACGTTTTTTTTCTCGATGTTAATTGTAAATCTAAAGCTATCCAATCCGCACTCATCTATCCCTGCTATGTATGTAACAATGACGCTTCCTGTGAAAAGTGTTTACTCCCCCACTAACAACATCAACAAGTAATTCGCGTCCTCCCATGTGGCTTCCATCAAGTTCCATCACCTTGTCTTGCGCATCTTCTCCATCAATATCAACTTCAGCTGATGAGCTCTTGCTAATTTCGACATCAGTTATCTCTCCACATGAAGAGAAATGTTGACGAATTGCACTCTCGATATCAATCTCACTAAGCGAGGTGTCATATCCACTAACCCAAATGGTAATGGAACTGCAAAATGGTACAAGATGATGATAATAACAACACATGTTAATAATAATACCAAATAAAAACAAAGTAATGTTACGTACCGGCCTGCATCTTTCGGAAAAGGATAAGGGGTAACAATGGCCTTCCATCCTCCAACGTCACTTCCACTAAGTTGCAACGCCTTTTCTACTGTACTTTCACCCACAATATAAACAACAGCACGCCTGCGAAAAAAAAAATAGTTAGAAATAGAACTTACTGAGTTGAGCTGTGAAAACATGAAGTTAACAACAAACCTTTCGAGTCTATTATCTCTATAGCGGATACAAATATCAGTGATCAGTCCACATGGTGAGAAGAGTTTTCTCAACGCTCCATCGACATCATCATGTGGAAGATTAATGTCATACCCAGTAACGAAAACCCTCCCAACGTTACTGCAATAATCGGGACAAGAACAACAAAATCTTATGTATACAAATAAATCTCAAACACACAAACAAAAGAAATCATTGTTACCATAAAAAAATTGGATCAAGAACAATATAATTAACATATGCAAATTTCAAACGCACAAACTAGACAATCAACGTTACTGCACCAATTGAGAAAACATTACCAACGTGACAAGAACAAGACATATGATCTCATAGATACAAGAGCAATCAGTTTTTACCGGATTTTTGATTTGACTGAAAGAATATGAGGGTCGTTCCATATCAGCCTCTAAGGTAACAAAAAAAATCAAATCAGAAACCATTCATTGAGAGCAAATAAGAGCATAACGATAAGAAGAAGAGTTACTTACTCTGCTCCCGTATCCGTCCATCGTAGACAAGTTGAGAAGATCGAGTTCGCTTGCTAGGTTTTCCATAAGCGATCAGTTCTAGGGTTTTTTTGCGGTCGGAACGAGGTATTTATATCGTCTCCATTACCCTACTTTAGGGCACAACCGTAAACATTTAGGGTAAAAAAAAGAAGATCAAATCAGAAACCGAAGAATAAGAATACTTACTTTGTTCCCGGATCCGTACAAGATGAGAATTATCGACTTTGCTAGGTTTTTCGAGAAGCGGCGATATTTTGTTTTATCTGTACTAAAAGTTGTTCTGCGGTCGGAAAGAGATTTGATATCGTCTCCAGTACCTTGGTTAGTGGGGCATTCATTATTAAAACTAGGTAAGGAACCCGTGCGATATCGCACGGAAACTCATTTTATAAAATAATATTTTTAAAAAATTATAATTATTTTTTAAAAAAATAAAAATTACTTTATTGAAAGAATACAATTTCGCAATTATGAGTATGCTTAAAAGATGTATCTATTTACAAGAAAAAAATATGAATAAACCAATACATTTTTCATATAAAAATACATTAAACAGAAATAAAATTGAAAATAATAAAAATAAATACTCACAAACTATTTAATTTTCACATGAAAAGAATATGTCATAACTTAAAAGTTATTACCAGATGGTAAAGACACACATATTCAAGTTTATGTGCATGTTTTAAATTATTATCGTTAACTCATTTTATTATAAAAATGGCATATTTTTCAATAAAATGATCAGTTAGTATATCTCATTTGTATTACATCTTTTTCTCTTTTGTAGCATATATAAACTTCTTTGAAAACAATAACAATGAGTTAACAATAATAATTTAGTGGCAAATTTTGCAAGAAAGAAAAACACACATTTCCATCTAATAAACAAAAGAACAATTAAACTAATAAGTTCACTGTTTCGTTTAGGAATTTTTTTCTAGTGAAACATGAATGATCATTCTTACTAACTACTATCCTTTATAGACAATGTTTTATTTAAATATCTTCAAAAAATTGAAAGCAAGTAGCTCCAAACAATCTTTCTTCTCCACAATTTAATAATTTGGTAAAAGATTTACAATGAAAAATTCATAGACATACTATTTATGATTTTTCAAAAAGCTACATAAATAGTAACATTTTTCAAATTATAAGTAGATTTTTAAGATGGTATATTTTCAAAACCTGCACGAATGTACGAATCAAAATTCTTGTTTCTTCATTAAAATAATTTCAAAATCTCTTGTTATGATTTGAATACAACAATTAAACCTGGTATTATTCATGTTTAGAAAATTCTTATCATTGGATTTAAAATTGTTGGAATGGATTTGAATCCAGTTTCATGAGTATATAATATCAAACAAAAATCCACCTTTCCCCTACGATTCTATAACATTTCTTATTATTAATAAATAAATCAAAAAGCACTATTACCAAAGTTCATAACTTTCACCAAAATCATGTCCTTTTGAAACTGAACATAGTATGATTGTTAATCATTTTCTTTGAGTTTAATTATCTAGTGTTGAAATCAATTAACACATATGTTGAATTTATAAATTACAATGATTCAGAAGCGAACCACTGCTCCCTCCTGCTGTTAGAATCACAATAGAAATAATAAAGAAAATACAGGATTTTGACAAAAGATAACTATCGTCAAGACTCAAGAGAATCACAGATAAACAAAAGAAATCCCCCATGCCTTAAGGTTATAATCATCCAAACTGGAAAATTTTGATGGTAAGACAAACGACTTACGGAAAAGTTGAGAAGATAGCCACTACACCAAAAGTAAACATCACTTCATCGATTTTCTCGCATGTACAAATGATAAGAAAAAAAAGAGAAACTTTCCCGATTGAATCTGGTCCCGAAGGCGAGTCAAATCATTGATTGTTCAGATGAGAAGAAACACATCGATCAATATATCTCCTCTTTCCGTTCAAAAATAATAATATCTTTCCTCCTCTAGCCTGGCTGCAAACTGGAAACAAAATGTATGCTTGAAGTAAAGAGACCTAAAATCTACAATCTATTTACCTTGGTTTGGCACAGAATATCTACAATCTATCAATCAGTTATCAGAGTATATACTAAGTGAAATATTGAGAGCATTGGAAAGTTCACATGGATATCAGCAGGTGAGAAACAAGTACCCGATGAGGTTAAATGGTGAAGAAATCAGATTACGGATACACCATGATGTAAATAATCCACAAAGCGACAGAGTAATTTAAAGAAATTAGGATAACTCAATCTAAGAACAATGATGATGTGATGGGATGAAAAAGCGATATATAAATTTGTAAAATATTATATTCTGAAAGGTTGCGTCTGTCACAAAAAAAAAAGAAAGAGAAAGGTTGCTTCTTTTGAGAAGTGGCAATTCAGTTAGAGCTTGTTCAACGCAGAAGTGCTTATTTCTTTTTATTTTTTTTATTTTTTTATTTTTTCTTTCGTTTTTTACTATAAAAAAAAAAAATTGACCAATCGTGGGCCGCCACGTGGCATGGGGCCCACGAAACAGAACAAGCTTCGCTGCTTATTCTGGTTTTTTGGCAGCAGTGCTTCTCTTTTTTCCCTCTTTTTGTGGCCCCCCCTTCCTAAGCAACTCCCTAAAACCCCCCCCATTGATCATGCTCTTAAAGAATACGAAAGAGATGTTTTTTGCGTTAGTAATGATGGCGTCATACGTCTAAATGAAACTAAAATTTAGTCCATCAGATTGCATGCCCGCAACAATATCCACCGTTGGATCAACTTTTTTTCCTATAAAAAAGAGATGATGTCAGCAAATACAAAATTGTGGTTTGCTATTATGTATTAACAATGCATTATAGATATGTGCAATAATGATAAAAAAATTTAAAATATATTATTTTCTAAGCTAATTTAGCTTTAATTTTGTTAACTTAAATTACAATTTTTAATGTTTATTTATGATTTCTTTTTTTTTGAGAAAATATTTTATTTATAACTATTTTTATTTTTGAATAAATACAACTTTCATATTAAAAACTAATAAATACAATTTTTCATGTATTTTGTAGAAGATGCAACTTTTCACATTAATATTAACTCTATATAGATAATTATAAATATTTTTGTGAAAGTACATAGCCTTTTATAAAATAAAGTATGAATAAAAAGATACAACCTATCAATATTAATTGGTATCTTTTCATGTAGTTTTTTAAAGATGCAACTTTTCACATTAATATTAATTTTATATAAACAATTATAAATATTTTTGTGAAAGTACATAACCTTTCATAAAACAAAATATGAATAAAAAGACACTACCTTTCAACATTAATTGGGATTGTTATTATAAGTTATTATATTTTCATTAATTTTAAAGGTTGTGTTGCTTCATCATAAAAGTTGCATTAATTAAAATAATTTATAAAATTCTATAGGAATCCAAATAAATGTGAAATGTGTTTTTTATGTGAAAGAGTGTGTCTTTACATTCTTAATATTGCATTTGGTGTTTAAAAATTTCCTAAAAGGTATAAAAAAAATACCTTTTCATAAAAATGTGTCTTTTCAAATTATATTATGTTTCTAAAAGATGGTAAAAATATATAAGAATGTGCCTTTTATATATCATCATATTTTTATAATATTTGTAAAAGTTATTTTTGTTTAACGAATTGTTTTTCACTTTCAAAATATTAATAACGAATTGTTTTTCACTTTCAAAATATTAATAGTTAATTTCTGTAACTTTCTCATTTTCATGTCCATTTGGTGAGAGGATGCAAATGAAAAGGTGTAACTATAACTACACAGATGAAAAGGTGTTTCATAAAGACACAAAAGAAAATGTATGATCATGAATACAATGACATCTATATATACATGGTTAGTAACAACAATAATAAAAATCAACACACAGGAGAAAAATAGTTATAGAAGATAGATTTGTGATCATCTCCATCAAAGATCACTTAAAGATATTAAAAACAAAGGAAGAAGAAATCAATTAGTGAATTGATCCAATATCAAACCAAAACAAGCATTTATCAAGGTTAATTTCTTTCTTCTTGAGGTTGAATAATAATAAAGACACAACTTTTTTTTATAAATAACAATTCTCATTAATTCTAAAGGTTGTGAATCCCCATTAAATTGAAAGATTGTGAATTTAAATTAAGTTGAAAGGTTGTGAAACTCCACTAAATTGAAAGGATGTGTTTTTATTTTTAATACTTTAAATATGTTTTGAAACAATGTGTCCATTCAAAAGGTTGTGTTGTATATTTTTAAAAATTGTATTTGTTTAAATAATTTCAATTTTTATAATGGAAAGACACAACTTTTCACTGCAAATAATTAGATCATTTCATATGTGTCTTTTCATTTTTACTTGTTCATATCTATTCATTAATACTTTGCATAAATATTTTTAATTGTTTTATATCAAAACAAACTTATTTTAGAAACCGTTTTCTTCCTTTCTCCGAGTGCAATAATCAGTGCGACTCTTCAACAAATTTTCTTCATGTCATACTGTACTTTATTTCTTTTTCTTAGTAGATTAGGTTTCTATTGAAATAAAGATTCTCTAAATCTAATGGTGTATGTTTTGATTGTCGCCATTGACGCCTGTTCTCTGATGACGATTTTTAGAGTGTTCTGCGGCAACTTCCTTCTCTCTCTCCGAATGAGCATCTGTCCGGTTACTTTCTACGGTATGAGATCCCATCTAATTATTTCTGGTGGCTCTCTCTATCTCGTAGCCTCTTTTGTCAATCTGAAAATTCCAAATCTGCAATTTGGCAACTGCCTTGGCCTGATCTTGTGAAATTGTTCCCAATGCATCTATTGTCTCTTCCAATGTATCAGTATCTCATCTATTCTCGGATGCACACGTTTATGTTGGTCGTGAAGCATGATGTTTTTAATTGGATCACAAGAGATAATGATGCTCATGGGAATCACTTGTCTAACTTGGAAAAGACGGAAATTTTCACCATCACTACATCAATTTAAAAGTTCTTTTTTAAATTTAAATTTTAAATGTTAACACCAAGGAAATGCTTGTTTCCCCACTCAGAAAAAAAAAAATCATTCTGATACAAATCATTATTAGAGATGCAATATTTTAAAATTAACAAAAAACTAACCTTCTCGTCTAGTAATAGAAAATTAAGACTAATAACTTCATTGTGGGTGATTGGTTGGACTCTAAATGTAAAAATTACTGCAGAATTTAGACTGTAGATTTTTTTGATGTAGTTGTATCTAATGTAGTTGTAGAAATAAAATGAGAAAAAATATAAAAGAAAATATATTTCTACAGCAATCTTACAGCAATATTTTTTTGCTTTAGAAAATAGGGTACCTACAACCATTTTTATTTTTTTTTTGACTTTAACTTTAAAAACTACTTAAAACATGATTGGTGATTTAAATGGTTGTAGATATAAATTAAAGCTAAAGTCACTATTTACAACCCAACCAATCACCCTCATTGTTTCGTTTAGGATTTTTTGGATATCCAAACACGAATGAATGATCCTTCCTATAATTGTTTGTTGGCAACGTTTCATTTGAATATCTTCTAATAATTTGTATTTAGGTAATTGTACATAATCTTTATTCTTCAACATTTTCTTTTTAAAAATTAAAAACTTTGAGTTTTAAGAATGTTGTAGACATAACCTATATATAGAGATTCATAGAATTCTGAGAAAAGTTACAACTTTTCATATTCTAATCATTTTTAATGAAAAGTCACAACTTTCTACTAATACATCTTTACAATATTATCTCTTTTTACAAGAAAATATTTAATAACTAACTTTTGAAAAGATGCATTGTTTCAAAACATATATATATATATATATATATATATATATATTTTAAACACATATTAGTTACAACCTTTCAACTATATTTAAAAAACCACTTTTACAAAAATATTTTTTAACTAACTTATGAAAGATACATGCATTTAACTAATTTTTGAATGGCCACATTGAAAGAAGCATTGTTTCAAAACATATATATATATTAAACATATATAAGTTACAGCCTATTTTTTTACAATATTTTATAACTAAATTTTGAAAAGATACATTGTTTCAATATTAATTTTAACTAATTTTTGAATGGACACATTGTTTCAAAATACATTTTAAAAATTAAAATAAAGATACAACCTTTCAAATTAATGAGGATTCACAACCTTTGGAATTAATGAGGATCACTATTATTAGTAGATAATAGTATTTTCTAACGGTTGGGCCTTGCAGGCCTCTAGACTTAGCCCATCCTAATCTACTAATTGACTTTTATCATGCGCTTAAAAAATAGAAAGATCATGAGGTCTTAGGATCATTGTTGTCTACTAATAACCATCTTGTGGGATGCATCACTTAAATATCTTAATAATTTATAATGATCTTAAAATTTAGTGCCAACTGCCATCATCTCATAGTAAGGTAGTGAATTGTAAACATATAGATATGGCGGTAGAGATTTATAAAGAGTCTTTCGAGAAGGAGATATGGGAGAGGTGGCAGAAGCTGTAGATATATAGTTGTGGCATAGACTTAGCTGGACTTTGGAGAATGAAAGTGATATGGTGGAGATGGTGGAGATGGCGGGAAGCTGTATAAGAAAGATGGTGGCGAAGACTTGTATTCTACCTTAAGAGAACGAGAATAGTATGATGGAAGTGGTGAGTAGCTGTAACAAGCATTATGCCATTATGTATATTATCTCTATTAATTTCACTCTTTAATTTTCTTATCTCTGTAGAATGCTTTAGGATGAATCAGAGAATTTATGGTGTTGGAGTATTGTTTATCTCTTTTAAATATTTACGCCATCGCGGACAAACACCTTGTTTATCTCAATAGACATTAATTTCAAGAATTTATGGTGTTGGAATATTGTTTATCTCTTTTAAATATTTACATTTCAGGACATTGCTATTTAATATTTTTTGGGGAAAAAACTAAAAGTGATGTTAAATAACACCAAATACAGTGTTTATGTGTTCTATTTTAATTTTCTTCTCAACTAAATTGCACACCAAAAACATTTATATATTATTATTTTAATTTAAATAATTTTAGTACTTTAATTATTTGTAATGACTAATTATCATGTTATTATATTTAGATGTATTTTATTTGTTAATATATTATTATTTTATGTTTTCAATGTTATCTACATTTTGTATAAATATATTTTTATAACTAAATTATGTATCTTTTTAACTAATTTATATATTTGGTTTTAGTTACAAGTTTAAATTAATGAATAATAGTAATTTAATTTCATTATCAAAAAACTCAGTAAAATACATTTTTAGTCTTTGGTGTGATAAATAATGTACACTAAATTTAATATAATACTATTTATAAAAAAAACAAATATGGTGGAATTATATAAACTTTAAAATACGGAGTATTAGAGATGAAATTATAATTTAAATAGACGACTTTGAAATGTAATTTTCATCATACTTATTATAGTTTTTTTAATATTCAATTCTGTAAAGGAAAAAGCATTTCGACTTTCTGTCTTTTCAACTCTATATTTTTATTTGTATAACATATAATCCCACTTAAAGGTCACTTTCAAAATACTTTCAAATTATCAAAATGATAAAAGAATATCATTTGAATGTAGGGAACCTCAACGGCTGGTGTGTTTTGTTTTGGTTGGTCAGGGAATGAAGAAAACCGTAAACAGTTACCAAACTCGATTAAGAGTTGATTCTACATCATGGAAAATGCTTTATCCACCTCGCAGTCATCCATCCCTGGCCCTGCTACGTAGGTAACAATGACGCGTCGTGTGAAAAGTGTATACTCCCCCACTAACAACATCAACTAGTAATTTGCGTCCTCCCATGTGGCTTCCATCAAGTTCCATCACCTTGTCTTGCGCATCTTCTCCATCAATATCAACTTCAGCTGAGCTCTTGCTAATTTCGACATCAGTTATCTCTCCACATGAAGAGAAATGTTGACGAATTGCACTCTCAATATCAATCTCACTAAGCGAGGTGTCATATCCACTAACACGAAGGGTAATGGAACTGCAATGGCACAAGATGATGATAATAACAACACATGTTAATAATATATCAAATAAAAACAAAGTAATGTACGTACCGGCCTGCATCTTGCGGAAAAGGATAAGGGGTAACAATGGCCTTCCATCCTCCAACGTCACTTCCACTAAGTTGCAACGCCTTGTCTACTGTACTTTCTCCCACGATATAAACAAAAGCACGACTGCGAAAAAAATAAAAGTTAGAAATAGAACTTACTGATGAGTTGAGCTGTGAAAACATGAAGTTAACAACAAACCTTTCGAGTCTATATATTATCCCTATAGCGGATAGAAATATCAGTGATCAGTCCACATGGAGAAGAGTTTTCTTAACGCTCCATCGACATCATCATGAGGAAGATTAATATCATACCCCGTAACGAAAACCCTCCCAACGTTATTGCAATATAATAATCGGGACAAGAACATCACAATCTTACAGATACAAATAAATCTCAAATACACAAACAAAAGAAATCATTGTTACCATAAAAAAATTGGATCAAGAACAATATATCTAACATATGCAAATTTCAAACGCACAAACAAGACAATCAACGTTACTGCACCAATTGAGAAAACATTATCAACGTGACAAGAACAAGACATATCTCATAGATACAAGAGGTATCAATTTTTACCGGATTTTTGATTTGACTGAAAGAATACGAGGGTCGTTCCATATCAGCCTCTAAAGTAACAAAAAAAAAATCAAATCAGAAACCATTCACTGAGAGCAAATAAGAGCATAACGATAATTAAGAAGAAGAGTTACCTACTCTGCTCTCGTATCCGTCCATCGGAGACAAGTTGAGAAGATCGAGTTCGCTTGCTAGGTTTTCCATCAGCGATCAGTTCTAGGGCTTTTTGCGGTCGGAATGATGTATTTATATCGTCTCCAATACCCTACTTTAGGGCACAATCGTAATTTAATAATTAAATAAACATTTTTTCTAACGAGTGGGCCAAAAACGCATCAAGAGCAGAGAAGCTAGAAGCAGCATCGTCAGAGCCTCAGAGGTATTTGGCGGGGATAAATCAAGGATTAAAGAAGAGTTAAAAAGAAACTATCAAGAGCACTGAGGACGCCAAAAACGTAGCCGTCAAGGAATATGAGCGGATCAAGGTGGTGGTTCAGCCCAAAACAATAACAAATGTATTATAAACTGATTCGAATTCTTATGTGAATAATGTATTTATCGTGATAGAAAAATAACAGGAGCGAGATTGAAAGGCCAGACAGAGAAAGGGGTGCAGACTTCTTGAGTATGATGAAGGGCTTTGTTGTTAATTAGGTACATTGTTATTAGATGTGTGAGACTAATCAATACAATAGAGAGAGGCTCTTAACACGAGAGAAGCTTGTATTCCCTCCGTTTCAATTTAATTGTCGTTCTAGAGTTTTGCACACAGATTAAGAAAAAAATTAATTTAAATTAATTTTATATATTTTTAAAATAAAAATAAAAATTACTTAGACACTTATTTTGAAACAAAAGATTTTACTCGAGAATGACATATAATTTGAAATGGAGAGAATAATATTGTTCTTTATTATTCTTCAGTCATTGGTTTTGCGCTTAACCCAGTTTTATTAAAGAATCCAGAGATTCACACAATACAACATCCAGATTATAAAAATAAAAACAAAAAAAACATAGAAAGTAATAGATAGAGAAAGGCTCCACTGCACCACAGTTAACTTAAAAACCCCTAAACCCTCTTTGGTAGGCGATAAAACTTTGGGTGAACTGTAAAAATTGCCCCGCTAGTAAGCTTAACAAGTAACTGGCGTCCTCCCAAGTAGCTTCCATTAAGTTCCATCGCCTTGTCTTGTGCATCTTCTCCACTAATAAGCACTTCAGCGTAAGAATGCTTCTTAGAAATGGTGATTGTACCTATCTTTCCACATGAAGAGAAATGCTCACGCAAGGCACTCTCGAGATCAATCTCACTAAGCGAGGTGTCATATCCAGTAACATAAACCATAATGAGACTGCAATGGCACAAGATGGATGATAATATCAACCCATGATAATATATACACAAAATGAAGAAAATATTCTTAGTTTTTTACGTACCGGCCTGCAGATCTTGCAAAAGGATAAGGTGTAACAATGGCTTTCCATCCTTCAACCTCACTTCCACTAAGTTGCATTGCCTTGTCTACTACGAACTCATCTTCTCCTATGAGATAAATAATAGCAGCGCTGCGAAAACAAACAAACGACAACCAGTTTTATTTTCCTTGGCGTAGAACCTATTGGGTTGAGCAGCTGCGAAAACATGAAGATAACAACAACAAACCTGCAGAGACCATCTTCTGATGTATCATCTTCTGATGTATCGCGAATAGAAATATCAGTGATCTCTCCACATGATGAGAAAAGTTTTCTCAACGCCCTTTCGACATCATCTTGTGGAAGATTGGTGTCGTACCCCTCGACGAAAATCCTCCCAATGTTACTGCAATAATCGGAACATTAACCTTACAGATACACAAATAAATCTCAGACATACATACAAAGCAATCAATGTTATTACTGTAATAACTGCATGCACATGTTACACACCGACACAAATATTCCGATTATTAGAATCTCTCATCAAAGCGATCAAACTTTCAAAACGCACAAACACAACAATCAAAGCACAGACAAAAACAAACAAAGCAGCCAACGTTGGTTGAGATAATATTACCGGCATGTTGATTTGACTGGACCATTACGACGGTCGTTCAGTGAAAGCCCCTAACGTACCAAAAAAAAAAAAGATTATCGTTCACTGATAGCGAGCGTAATTGATAAGACGAATGAGAAGAGGATGATCACTTACTCGGATCTCGGATCCGTCCATCGAAGACAAGTTGAAAAAGATCTGACTTTGCTTTTGATATGTTTTCCACAAGCGGCGATATTTTAAGTTGTTCTAGGGATCTTGCGGTCTGAATGAGCTTTTATATTGCCTCCCAACATTATTGGTTGTGGGTTTCTTAATTTTATTAAACAAAATTTATATAAAAAAAATTAATTCAAAATTACAGGTCTAGCCTTTTTACCACCATTATTGACTCGTTCTGGCTAAATTTTTTTACCAAAAGAAAAAGAAAAAGATTATCTAAAATATGGAAACAATAATATACGTAATCATTTAATAAACTCACATTTTATTATTTTTGCTACATATTGTAGCAAATTATTTATACAACTTAGGGATTGTTATTTGCAAATACAAATAATCAGCTTATATAAATATTGTTATAACATTTAGCAAAAAAACGTATTTAGGTTTTGATAGTCCAACTAAGCAGACGTCGACGTTTTGGTGCAGTGGTAGTCCAATTAAGCACATGTCCCAGTGGTGTAATAGCACATCTTCTAAAATAAATCCCATCATGTCTAGCAGACCATTCACGATACTGACCACACTTATTCGATCCCGTGCCTGCTCGAAATGCTTCGAGATTAGGATAATGGTTTTCAGAAGGACGCTCATTTGGATCTTTCTTAAGTGGATAAAAGAGACGACAGTTATACGTTGTTCTTTCTTCAGCCGGGACGAAAAAAATATGATAACGGTCGGGTTGTATATCTATTTGTGGATGATTCATGGATGGGTTGTAAGATTGACACTTGACATGCAAAATATTACCTTTACCGAGTTCGTTTTTGAATACTAAACGACTTTCGGCGCAAGCTTCACTCAATCCAAAACATATAGTAATAACAAACAGAAACACTATGAAATTATTCATCTTTTTTTTTTTTGTGATATAATTTTTGAAGTAATGAAATTATCTATCTATTGTATTTATAACTTTTTATGTGGAAACGTTTACCTTTATTTTAGATAGTCTATTAGTAGTGTTAGCTAAATTTGAAAACAAAAGATGAACCAAGTAAAATAATTGGTCACGATAGATTTTAGGGAAATTACTTATAGTAATACACATTTTTTTATGTAATGTCTAGAATAACATACAAAAACTAAGAGATAGAAAAAGGTAGCATAAAGTCCAAAATACTTAATCGATAGAATGAATTAAATTGAAAATTAAAAGACACTAAAAAAAAATAACAATTAAAAAAATCGATTCTTAAACAAAGATTAAAAAAATCCCCTCTTTCCAAAGCCCCTTCCCGACACATGAACCCTAAATTCCTTGGGTTTAACCTAGTTCTACTTTGGTGTAAAAGAATAACAAAACCAAAAATTTAGTTAAATACTCCATAAACATGTTTAGAAGATTTAATTACATTCAAGTCAACATGTTGTTGAGGAATAGATTAATAGAAAACTGAAATATTATGAGTAATAAAAACCAAACGAGTGTGTACTTGTGCCCAGAGTCAGATATATGAAGCTTTTACAAGAGAATATTGGTATCTCTTCACATTATCAAATTGATACAAGAATATTGTTTTAATGTAGGGGACCCTCAACGTCTAGTGTGTTACAGACACCGGGACTCGACTAAGAGTTGATTCAATATCTTGGAAATTGCTCGTTTTTCCAGAACTATTAACATGTTTTATCAACAAGAAACACAAACCATGTTTCGATTTTTTAATTGAAAATGCTTTGTTACCAAAACCAGATAATGATTATTAAACATCCAGAGATTTAGACGATACAACTTCCACATAAGAAAAAGAAAAAAAAAACATAGAAAGGCTTCATTGTATCACAGTTATGAGCGTTGCAACTTAAAAACCCCTACAATGACGAGTTGACTTGTAAGTGTATACTCCCCCACAAACAACATCAATAAGTAATTTGCGTCCTCCCATGTGGCTTCTATCAAGTTCAATCACCTTGTCTTGCGCATCTTCTCCATCAATATCCAATTCAGCTGAAGCAAACTTGTTGGAAAGTTTGACGTAATTTATCTCTCCACATGAAGAGAAATGTTTACGCAAGGTACTCTCGATATCAATCGTATCTCGCTAAGTTCAATACATTTGCATGAACATGGCTTTTATCTAGTATTTGCAGAGCTATATAATTTTAAGTCTGAAAATGTATAATTTCAACACATGGACAAGGGTCGTAAAGAGCAAGATTGCTTTAGGTTGATTGGTGATATAGTGGAACGGTTTGCTGTCAATAAACCTTTAAGATGACTCAAACACATGTTGCTACATTTAATATGGTTTATGAATTTTAATGAAGGAAAATATGTGTAATCTTTTGCCGCTATCTATCTTGTACTCGGCAGATTTACATTTTTGGCAAAAAGAAGGTCTTTGGTATTAAGCTAATCTGATTATAAACTGAATTTCCAATGTGGTCACCAATCAATTATTTTCTTTATGGCCAACAACGTACCAACGTATTTGATTTTGTTTTTATCGTTGTCATGTAAATCCTTTTTCTCTGTTTAACTTGCTTATTTCATGAATAGTCATATAAGTTTTTTTTGCCAAAATGTTATAAACTTACACCGAAAACCAGATTAGACTATGTATCCATTGAAGAACAAAAATACCACCCAGATCTCTCGGATTCAAATCTGCAAACTCCTGTGGATATATACAACTACACAAGCATGGATTTAAAGATAAATTGAAAAATAGATTGCAAGGTATATCCTGATAAATTGCGATTTAATTTAGATTGCAAGGTATATCCTAATAAATTGCGATTTATATCCTAATAAATTGCGATTTATATCCTAATAAATTGCGATTTAATTTAGATTGCAAGGTATATCCTAATAAATTGCGATTTAATTTAGATGGCAAACACATGAATGTATCCTACGTTAGATCATACAAATAATACTCCCTCTGTTTCAATATAAGTGTCACTCTACAGCTATGCACACGGATTAAGGAAACAATTAATTTTACATATTTCCTATAAAAAAACACAATTACCCACACACCTAACCATATTTTAACCAATAGAAAAACAAATTACATAATAAAATTAATAAATTTAGCATTGAAAACCGAAAACGACACTTATTTTGTAACACAAAAAATTCTCTACAACGACACTTAATATAAAACGGAGGGAGTACAACTCTGCAGTAATTACATCGTCACAAGGGTGGAGAAGAAGCTTCCAAGTTTCCAACCATTCTCAATTAATCACTCTCTTTCCTAAAGATCTGAACCTGTTGACTGTAGATATGGGGATAAAATAAAATAAAGTCGAATCTCGAACCACCGACACGCACTTTCATAGTGGCATTTTCCGTAATTAACTTCAAACGAGGGGCATTGAATAGATAACTCTCCACTTTAATAAGTCCTCTTTAACGGTGTCGTTCAAACATATGCGACCCCCTTTCTCCTGTTTCTAAAAAGTCATCTTCTTTCTCTCTCTCTCTCCAACCCTAAACAAAAAGCATTGTTTCTCTTTTTGAACCACTAAAACACTCCTCCACGCGCCACGAACTCCTCCACACACCACTTTCCCTCCACATGGCGTCTGACGCCGTCAAATACATGCCGATTAACGGCGGAACAACCACCACCGCCGCCGCAGAAATAAGAAGCTTCTTATCCGCCGTGAAGCCACGAAAAACATCAACTTTCGCTTACGCGTTTGTAATAACCTTCGTCTCTTTCACTCTCTTCTTCGCCTTTAGTCCTTCTCCGAACTCATCTTCTCCTTGGTTCTCTAACATCTTCTCCTCCTCCGCCGTGGCTTCTTCATCGGAAACCACTTCCGGATCTCACTTCTCTTCGATCTTCTCCTACATCATCCCCAATGTCACTAACCCCACCAATAGATCTAGCGACGCCACGTCTAACACCACCTCCCCTGTCTCCGTAAACTCCACTTCGCCGCCGGAAAACCAAACTCCGGTTGTTAAAAACACAACCTTTGAATCTCCGGTCGTAAACCAGACAAACCCAGTTGTAAAAAACAGTTCTTTGCAAGCACCACCGCCGGAAAATCGAACTCCGGTTGATAAAAACACAACCTTTGAATCTCCGGTCGTAAACCAGACAAACCCAGTTGCAAAAACCAGTTCTTTGCGAGCACCACCGCCGGAAAACCGAACTCCGGTTGCTAAAAACGCAACCTTTGAATCTCCGGTCGTAAACCAGACAAACCCAGTTGCCAAAAACAGTTCTTTGCAAGCACCGCCGCCGGAAAACCGAACTCCGGTTGATAAAAACACAACCTTTGAATCTCCGGTCGTAAACCAGACCAACCCAGTTGCAAAAACCAACACTTCACAACCTCTGCTTCCGACAGGATCAAGTAATCAGACGACAGCTCCGTCGCCGTCGAAAGCACCACCAGTGTCGGTGGATCTGCCGGTCAATTCAACTTCCTCAACTCCTAAACCGGGAAAGCAAACCGGTGACTCTGTTTCTTTATTGGAACAAGAGATCGAGAAATGGAGTGAATCACTAAAAGACTGTGAGTTCTTCGACGGTGAATGGATCATGGATGATTCGTATCCTCTCTACAAACCCGGTTCGTGTAAGATCATCGATGAACAGTTCAACTGTATTTCAAACGGAAGACCCGACAAAGACTTTCACAAACTCAAGTGGAAACCTAAGAAATGTAGTTTACCAAGGTAAACGTTAGTTTGACTTATTATAACCGCCACATTCTTTTTTGATCATTTCTAATAATAGATTAAAATTTATATGTATATATGTAATGAAAATTGAAAGGTTAAATGGAGTTATAATGTTGGAGATGCTTAGAGGAAGAAGGCTAGTGTTTGTGGGTGATTCTTTGAATAGGAACATGTGGGAGTCTCTAGTTTGTATGCTTAAAGGATCAGCTAAAGATGAGAGTAAAGTCTATGAAGCTAGTGGTAGACATCATTTTCGTGGGGAAGCTGAGTACTCCTTCGTCTTCCAAGTAAAAGACTTCTTGTTCTGTCTGAACCAACTAATTTTGTTTTTTTTTTAGAATATATGTTCATGATTTTTTTATTTTGGGGTTTGTATAGGATTATAATTGCACGGTGGAGTTCTTTGTTTCACCGTTTTTGGTTCAAGAGAATGAGATTGTTGACAAGAAGGGAACCAAGAAGGAGACGCTACGTCTTGATTTGGTTGGGAAGTCCTCAGAGCAGTACAAAGGAGCTGATATTATTGTCTTTAATACCGGACATTGGTGGACTCACGAGAAAACATCCAAAGGGTATGTAATGGTAGTTACTCCGTCTTTCTGTTGTGTAATATATAACTAATATTATTGGTTTTTAAAAGGGAGGATTATTATCAAGAAGGGAGCAATGTGTACCACGAACTCGCTGTACTCGAAGCGTTCCGTAAAGCTTTAACCACATGGGGTCGATGGGTTGAGAAGAATGTGAACCCTAACCAGTCCCTTGTCTTCTTCCGTGGCTACTCGGCTTCGCATTTCAGTGGTGGACAATGGAACTCAGGAGGAGCTTGCGACAGCGAAACGGAACCGATCAAGAACGAGACGTACCTAACACCGTACCCGGATAAAATGAAGGTGCTAGAGAAAGTGTTAAAGGGTATGAGAACGCCGGTAACGTATCTTAACATCACTAGATTAACGGACTACAGAAAAGATGGTCACCCTTCAGTGTACCGGAAACAAAACTTATCGGATAAAGAAAAGAAAACGCCGTTGCTGTATCAAGACTGTAGTCACTGGTGTCTACCTGGAGTTCCTGACTCTTGGAATGAGATTCTATATGCTGAGCTGCTTGTTAAACTCAACCAGCTTGGTAAAACACGACCGAATCCTTAAAAAGGTTTTTTTTTCATCTCAGAACATTTGTTTGGTGATGATCTCAATACTTTGCTTTCTTCTGCTTTAAATTGTTTTTGGTTTATAATAGAATGTGTAGGGTTAGAAAAGGATGAAAAAGTATGATTTACTCTCTTATATCTTTGCTACTTTTTATTGTAAATGCTTTTGTTACCACGGTTACTATACTTAGCTCCAAAGAGAAGTTACATATTTTAATATTTTGATCCCAATAATCTCTGTTACATATGCTGGATTATCTATGAGGTGGAACATTGTTTCTTGGGGGTTTTTAAAACTTTTTGCGGCCTCTATGAAACAGAATAGCTTTATGCAAATTCTGGTTTCAACTTGTTGTAAACCATATTTTTATTCTTTACCATTTAGCAAAAAAAAAACATTGTTATTTTTTGATGTTGAAATAAAGTTTTGGGTTTAGGAATAATGTAAATGTAAACGCAAGACTTTGCATATGGAAGCATGGACGTGAGAGACTGTCAATCACCGACAGTTCCGACAAGATTTGTCTAGTTTTGGAAAATAAAATATAGGATCTGAAGACAATGGGTTCGGTCCCGAGTCTCACATGGGATGTTTGGACTTTTGTTGACTAAGAAGAAAGCTCTTTTAAAAATGTTCATTAGGACAAATGCTTTTATGAGTTCAGTGCGATCGGATCCAACCTGGTGCAGTTGTTCTCCACGTGACGTACTTTCTTACCTTTTTAATTATGTATTAATGTAAAGAGTAAATATATACATGTGACTATTTGGTTGGAGATTAGGAAAAAGCAGATACAATGTGTTTATGTTTGTGTAGAAACTAAGATAAGGGATGCTTACAAATTGAAGAAAGCTGGAAATATCTGAAGTACGCAGTACGAAACTCAACTGTCGTACAAAATTGCTTTATTTAACGAGAAAAGTAGCGAGTGACATTTTGTTGACGACATAGCTATAATAAATTGGACAATCTTTACATATTTATATCATAATCTGACTTTTTAACAAAATATCAAAAATAATAATAAAATTAATTAATTTAGTTATGCTAATATATTATATTTTACCAAAATTATTCTTAAGTAAGTCTTATACTTTCAGAAACAAATCCGTTAAATAAATATAAATCTAGTAATTTTTTTTAAATCGTGTATATAAATAATTTCCTTCAAATAAAATAGGAATATCTAATAAATAAAAAAAAAGTAACCATATTTACTTATAAGAATACTACAATTAGTTTTAAAATATATATGATACACTGATTATATTTAAAATATTTAATTTAAAAATAAATATAAAAGGTATGAAATGAAAGTAAAACTACCAGATATCAACAAAAGTTATCAAATCTAAAAGTTAGTTTTTATGTATTTAATATAACTTTATATATAAATATATGAAAATTTATTACTTACTCTTAAAATATGTATATATATATATATATATATGTATAGAAAATATTAAAGAATTGTCTTGTTATACATCATAGTTTTTTTTAAAAGTGATAAGATTAATAAATTTTCTTTATTTAATAGTTTAAAAGATAAAAGTAAGATTTTCTGTATTGCGGTGACAAACATCGTCATTATTAACATGTATGCCATATTTGCATCCAAAACTAACAATATGAAAGATTCAACATAACGGAAGTAATCGAGACATGTAGACATTCTGAAAGCCATTAGTCTAAAAGCAAGACATGCAGTCCATATAGTCCATAACCGAAAACTATATTGGCAATTTATGATGGTAATAGACATCGCTTATATAGATAGGGCGTAGAGGTAGAGGTAGAGGAATCGCCATAGCAGGCTCTAGATCATTTCGGCACCGATCACATAATGACATATGCTCCAAGTAATTCGACGAACTGGACGATGGTTCCTTGACCTAATTCTACGTCCATGAATCCACCGTTGATTAAGCCAGAACTATCTCGAAACCTGACAAAAGGAACTCCTTGAAAAAGCCTTATTCCAGTAGCAAACATACCATGAGTATTTGGGTAATCAGAAAGCAGTTCTAGGATCGTCGGACAGTAAATATTAATTAGTCTTATCATAATAGTGTTCACATATTATATTTTGCATTCCATATAGTTTTATTAGAAGCTATCAAAGTACACTACTAGGAGTACTTGATATTATATATAGTATAATAGATTTTGATTTTTGAGCACGGATGTTATAGAGTGAATTATATGTTATATCTCATATATAATATAATAGATATGTGATATGTCGTTAGTTTCTCTTAGTATATTATACAATATATGTTGTTCAAGTAAGTAGTTTTCATCAACACAAAATGTCATCACTACAAATATCCAATTACCGAAACAATTAAACGCGTACCGAAAGATGTTCATAAGTTATGAAACAGCAAACGATAAGGATGTAAATAGTTTTCAATACAAAATGCCATCACTACAAATAATTTTATAAAAGCGTAATATATCCTTATATTCTGCTTATTTTTTTCTTGTTTTCAGCTAAATATTTTAATCATTTGCACTGGTGAAATTTTCACTGTTTTCACTTAAATATTTTTGATTATTTTGAACTTATATATTTCTGCATACTGTATAAATTTATACTTATGTACACACTATTACATATAACTTCTTAATATTAAATACCTATTTTATGTAATATGTAGTTGTTTGTTGATCATTATTCTCGTATATATGCATGTATATCTTATAGACAATATTAAATACATTTGAACTGTTATATTAATTAGACTTAAAATTTTAATAAAATGTACTACTACAATGGCTTTAAGCCCCTTAAACAATAAGTATGTCACCAAATTTAGAGAGATTTTTAATAGGCTGAATTAACTAGGTAGCAAACGATGGTAATCCAATAACAATTGAGAGTAATTATTGTCACATTCATCCTTGGAAATATAAAGATTGATACAACAACGACGCTTCCAAAACCATACCATCAAACATCAGGAAGGGCCTAACCGAATGAAGGGAAGGAAGACCAAAGTGTTTGTAAGCCCAGAAGTCACGCCCATGTAGTGGACCAAGTAGGTCACTGAGAGGGATTCTGCACCAGTTAAGTTCGCAATGCGACATGCCGCGTTCATGTGCCCTAAGAGAATACACCCAACACGTGTCATGAGTTTGTATCCACTTGATGCCGTCGATGAGTTGATTAACATCATCTTTCCCAAGTCATGAACGAATTCATATTCTGCAACAGAAATCAATATATAAGATTTTTAAAATCCAAACCAACACAAATGATTCACCGATTAAGCAATTTTCATGTAATCATGAAAAGAAGAAGATTCAGATACAAAAAAAATTGGTAGAGGTGATAATATACAAAAGCCATGTCACCATAAACTGCATATCGTAGATATGTTATAAATATATTTTGAAAAAAGTAATTTTATAAGAGCATAATATATCCGTATATTCTGTTTATTTTTTTTTTCAGCTAAATATTTAATCATTTTTGCATTGCTGATTTTCACACTGTTTTCAAATATTTTTGATTATTGGAAGTTAGTTATATATTTCTCCATACTATATAAATTTACACTTTATGTACACACTATTACATATAACTTCTTAATATTATATATGTATTTTTATGTAATATGTAGTTCTTTGTTGATCATTATTCTCGTATATATGCATGTATATATTATAAAAAAATACTAAATACATTTGAACTGCTAGCCTTTAAATTTTAATAAAATGGCTTTAAGCCCTTAAACAGTAGGTATCACATCAAATTTAGAGAAAAAATTAATAGGCTGAATTAACCAGGTAACAAACGATGGTGATTTAGTGACATTCGAAAGTAATTATTGTCACATTCATCCTTAGAAATATAAAGATTGACACAACAACAATTATTCAGAAAACCATTACAGTCAAGTATGTCATCAGACAAGAAAAAAACACACGAAAACAAAGTCCTAGAATCACTTCCGAGAAAAACATATGTAGGACCCTAGAAAACAACATGAACACGCAAAAGCACAAAACATAGAATTAACAAGAACATAGCAAATGAGGAAACGTCTTATCCAGTGTATCCTCCACCAGTTCCGTATCCAGTGGTGCCACCACCAACGTGAGTGTTATGAGCAGTGGTCCGACCAGTTCCAGTGTTTGTCCCGATCGGTTCGGTCAAGTTCGTTCCCCCCACAACGTGTCCGGTTGATTGTCCCGTTCCGTGACCAGGCAAAGCCGACATCTGGTGGGTCCCATGTCCCACGTGTCCAGTGGTTGAGTGAGTGGCTGACCCCAAACCTAAACCGGTTCCGGTTCCACCTCCAGCAGCTTCTTTCATGATAGCGTTGTGCTCACGCACTTCTCGCTTCTGCATCTCAGCTTGGTTGATCTTTGCTTCTTTCTTCTGTGTGGCCATTTGTTTCTGGATAGGGTCTCGTGTCGTCATCTTCTCCGCCTTATAAAAACAAATCCAATATCACCATTATTTATCAAATAAATTATTTTGCTTAAAAATGATAAAACACAAATAATAAACGTATACCTTTTCCTCCAAGGTGGCTTTGGTCTTGTCCATGCCAGACTTTGCTGAAGCAGCAATGTTCGAAGCTGTTTCCTTCATCGACTGCATTTTTTTAATCTTTCTTCCTTTGTGAAAATCAAAATGTTACAAGAAGATAGCTTATGATTTTTCGTGTTCATTTCTCTTGTGAGCATGTCTCGTAAAAATAGGCACTGCTCTCTCCACGTGGTACCTGCGATTATTATTTAATTACGCTCTTGGTAACACGTCAGCTAGACGTGTCATGAAACAAGAGGTAGTAGGCTTTGTTGCACCTGTTTGCTACACGTGTACTCGTAGCCTAGACTCGTAGAATAGTTCAAATGTTGACGCGTGTTAGGTTTTGCGTAATAGTGCAAAGAGTTAGTTATGTAGTTTTCTTTTTCCTTTTACAAGTGTTTGATCCGAGTTCGTCGTTGGTCAATAATCAATATTATAGATTTGTCCATGGTTTTTCTTATTGGTTGTTCATGTAAATAATTCTACACAAAAGGTTATCACTACAATGCCCAATCACCGAAAGATGATTATGAGTTAAGAAACTCAAAAAGATGGATCGAAGTAAAATTATGCTAACGTGGTAAAAGAACACTTAACTGACAAAACAAATATGCAAAATAAATCTACAAGCGCACTTACAAGCTATAATTTTGCGGCGTATCATTTAAGTATTTAAGCAACGATGGTAAATTTTACTGTCCACTGATTTAAAGTTTCACTATCAGATTGTTAATTTCATAAACTATTCCTGACTTTGATATTGTATTAGTAACCACGCAGGCATCAAACTGATCAATAAAGTACAGTAGCATCTCACTAGACTATACATATAGTGTGGACTCAAAATGCATTTTAATGGAAAAGATATCTACGATATTCAAGTTTATGGTGACATGGCTTTTGACTGTCTCTATTCAAGCAGCCAGAGAAGAAAAAATAATAAGAATTCAGTGAGTCCTCTCCTCAGTCCTCGGTCATGGAGGTATTGTGTAGTGTGGGTTTAGTTAATGTCTTTGAGCCCATCAAGATATAGGATCAGTTAAGCCTCACCAAGGCCTTGTTTAGACTGAAAGCATAGTCCTTTGGAATAAATTATTGACTTTAACCTCAAGTTAATTGTAAACGTCTATGGAAAGACATTAAAAAAAATCAAGTGTTGGGTTACTTTTTATAGTCATATAGTCGAAGTTTTAATGTTTTAAAAATTGTGGACATGCTTTAAATGAAAAATCGAACTCGTATATTTTCAGTTAAATTCATTAATCAGTCTTAAATACTAAATGATTACTAGGATTAATAGAAGCCAAATTAACAAGGACCATCAGTTTCTTTCCACAACTCTAAAGATTAAAGAATAGTAGAATACATAGCAAGAGAGGGGGGAGACACAGAGAGTTTTCTTCAACCCTAAACGGGCTTAATTTCTTAGTATATGTGATTCGGTAGATTTACGATTCGTTTGTCCATATGTGAGATTCTGAACGATTTGATTTCTTAGTAAATTGTGATCCTTATAACTAAAATATTGAATGGAACTTCACATTAATGTTATTTTAGCGAACTTTAAATTGAGGTCAAATTTCTTCAGATACCACCTTTAACAAGTCTACCCGAATTTTTCTCTACTAGGAGACAACAAAGAATAATATTTACTGAAATAGATATAAATTTACTTCAATGTCGAACATTTAAAACAAAAGATATTCAATTAAAAACTATCAAATATTTGTTACCTTAACACGTGTCAGGGGTCCATCTGCGACGGGCGAAGAGGAATATAAAGTCCAATTTGCAACAATTAGTAGTAAAATATGAAAAAATCAAGAACCTGTCTCAAGAAAATTAAGTGGGAAGTGCAACTTGTAAGACTACTATTGGGTATTATTTAAACACGTAGGGAGAATCTTACAGTTGTTCCACTGTTGCCATTTAAAATTGATTCATTGATTAGAGGTCCACCTTCTGTTATTTTCCAGTACCAAACATCTCATTTTTTGGGGACCATCTTTTTTAGAAGAAATAGCCATCAGAAAATTTATAATAAGAGACGAATATTATGTGACAAGAAAGAGTTACAACTTGAGTGTATGTCACTGTGTTACGAGAGGAGTTTTTCTTTTTCCCTAATGTTTAATTGTTTCATTTTTATCGTTAGCTTTTACACACGCATCAAAAATATTTTTTTTAAAACATGATGTTTGTTTAGTACG